GCAGGCTAGAAGATCTCAGAATTAGTCATGAGGTTACAAAAGACCTCTAAGATTGTCACCTTCAACCTCTGACTGGTCACCTCCTTGTTGCTAGACCATGGCACTTAGTGCCACATCAGGCTGTTTCTTTAACACCTTCAGGGATGGTGACTTCACAAACTCCCTGGACAGTTAATTCCAATGAATTCCAGCCTAACTGGAAATCTGTTCTGAGAAGAAATTCCTTCTGAAAGGACAGGTGTGCTTGGGACCACTCTTTCTAAGAGTCACAAGAGAATTGGCTTAAGTCATAATGATCTTCAATCTTGACCACAATTCAGGTAGTAACTTCAGTTACAAAAATGTTGTTCCACTGAAGTTGTTTTTCAGACAAGAAAAATAAGTTTCCAAAGTGGTTTGTGCTACACAGCACAAGTTCTTGGGAGCAGACAGTATTTCTAATAAGCTCAAGAGCTTAGTCCAGGTGCTGTTTGTCAAGCCTGAGCATTTCTGAGATCACATTGCAGCCAGGGGGAATGCACCACCACACTTGCTCAAAGTTGTTTGCTTACTGCATAAGAAAGACATATTTTAAACGATACATTTTAAAAAATGAAAATGGGAATGACATGCAACTTGCAATTACTTTTCTTGACCCTGAGAGAAAATCTTTATCTTAACTTTAACAGTAGTCACTGGCAAAAGAGGAAAGAATAATATTATTGGAAAGGGAAATTAATTTTGAACTGGCATAAGAATCTGCTTATTTTCAAATTTGCTGAGGGTTTTGGTTTTTTTTTTTAAACAATACTATATTGTTGTTGGGAAAGAAGTAATGGCTTCTACTGTCTTTTAAATATTTTAAGTTATTAAACTGGTACAAGAATGACTTGGTACTCTGTGTATGTGGAGAATAACCTGCTCTAAGAGGTGATGGACTATCTGTTAATTATTTCTTCCTTTAGAAGAAATAACTTTTAAATCAAGGGAAAACTTGATGCAGGCACAGCTATAAAAAGTGATTGTTTTCTAAATTAATAAGAAATCATAGACCTGTAAGACTACTAAGTTAGCCTCTGAGGAACACAGAAAGCAGAAGTAGTATGTACTAAACACTAAGAAAAATGTATTTCCTGCCCTCCATGCACAGTCTCTCCCAGTCACCGGAATTAATATTCCTAACAGGCAAACACAGCCATGCAGTCCCGGAATGATTAGATAAATAATTGGATACAGAAGTATAAGTCAATACAAATGAATTTCCATTGACTTCCTTTACTCTTTATTTGCATGAACAATTTAGATAGTGAATTTATATTCTAATGGTCAAGTCTAAATGGCTTTGAGTAATGTTTTATTTATAGAACACTTGGTTGCCCATAAGGTGAGTTAAAGTGCAAATTGAGGTCAGGATTAAGACTGACTGCTTCTGAGCTGGTAGAAGCGTTGGTGGCCAGGTCTGGGTATATACAAACAAAGTGTATGCTGGTAAGAGGAGTTTTGCTGCTGTACCTCAGACTGTCCCCCATATGTGATGAGTCAGAATTTGTTCTTGGAATCTGAAGAAATGTTTGCAGTTCTGGAGTCAAAACCAAATTGGATAACATAATGATGACAAATCTCAATCCGTGAAGTATTTGGTCTTGATTTTGAAGAGGTGTATCAATGTATGAGTGGGCTATGTCCTAGGCAGCTTCCTCTAAATACTGAGAAGCATTGTTGGAGTATGATTGATATGATGAACTGGATCTACTCAGGAAGAGTTATTTTGTGAACACTGAAAGCTGAAGAGGTGTTTGTAAAATCAACAGTGATTTTGGTATACATGATGCACTTTTTATATTACACATGAGGTTTACTTCCTATAACCTAGCTTTTTTCCTAAATTCATCTTTTTGTTTTCATTTCATTTAAGTCTGCTTGGAGTAACAACAGAACTGAAAGAGGAACATGAAACAATTCTATCATTTAACTAATCCTCTCTAGCAATATTAGAACTAGTTATTGATAAGTTAATCATATCAGTAGTGATCTGTAGATAATGCCAGTTGCTCTTCAGACATCAAGTGGGCTAAGGCTTTGTGGCAGTTAATATTAGAAATAATTCATGTTAGTTTAAATCCTCAGTTGCATTTAATTATAGATTTGTTTTGATTAATTTAATTGCATTTAATTATATTATATTATTATCTCTGTTAATCTGCCATTTGAAATATGCAGCAGAAGTTTTCTGCACTGCACAGAGTTATCAAAAGTTTTGTATTTGTAATCATACAGTCTTTCATTATTTGTTGGCCATTGAGTAATCTTCTCCAATTTTTGAGACAGCAGTGAGAAAAACTATGCATCTCTGTCTTTGCAGATAATATTATTTGCATTCATTATTATCACAATAGATAAATAGTTTGTGGGTGAATTACACTGCAGATCCATCATCATTACACTTCAAAGCATAATGGGACAGAAATTTGGCTCTTAGCCATCATAATGACATGGCTTAACTAATGTGATCAATCTTGAAGCAAATTGAATCAAAATTTTCTTTCCCCAGGTAATAGAAGTCCCAAGGTATGTTCTAGGCAGCTGATAAGATAAATTATTAAATACTTTTTTGTGCCATCCAGGGATTGCAAATATGCTTTTTTTTGTACCTTTCGCAGAAGGAGATCTAAAGAGCAGCTTGTTAATTTTTTCTTTCTTTGGGTTTTTCCATTAGTGTATCTTCTCCAAGATAGTGAGTGCTAATTCCAGTAAAATATCCTTATAAAAGGGAAGCCACCTCTTCTGGAAGTGCAGTTTTGTTGAGTTTTTTGGACTTTGCTACAAACCTTTCCAAAATTCAGGCCTGCTGAAAACTGAACCTCTTCTTACTTACTTAAATAAAGAAGAAATCATATGGAAAGGAGCTGTACTGCAAGAGTATAGTATATGTATTGCATATATGAAAGCTAACATACGAGGCAGGAGGTATCCTGCTGCTTCATATTAAGAAAGTTAAAGTTAAGCCACTTTCCATTACAACTATAGCATTTCTGTCTCAGAAATAGGTTCCGTGCAACTGAGATGATGAGTTTAAGAATGGAGTGAATGAGGAGTGTAGGACTGGGAGTCATTCAAGGGACAAGAAAAAAGGAAGACAGTGGGTGATAGAGAGTCACTCGATTTGAGGGGGCAGCAGTAGTGACAGAAGTTGGAAGAATGTAGTTTGCTAGTCAGAATGAAAGGAAGTAGGCGACAAGAACTGAGGTGTGATAACAGAAACAGAATGTAAGAGACAGATTTGTAGTGTTCTGGAGATTGAAATAGAACAGCCTAGGCAAAACAAACTTGAAAATACTGTATTTCCTTGTGATAGTTCTTGTGATTAACTTGTGCGAGTACCAAGAGTTTCTTACCTATCACTAAAATTCAATTTTTTTCTTCATTTGAGAATCTTTTATTTCTTACTAACTCATATGCTTTATCACTGTGTGTCTTGCCTTTAGGTGCACCCAGCCTCTTACAGATGAGATGGCTACTGACCAGTTGTAAATATATTTATCACTCTGCTTAGGAAGGGATGACTTCTCTTCAGAAGTCATTCAGAAGACTGACATTCAGAAGACTGACATAGGAAACAAATGCATTGTTGGAATATATATTAGCTCAAGTCTTTCTGGTTCTGTCACCATTTTACAGACACTAAGATCATGAAGATTGCAAAAAATCAGTTGAAACACAGCCAGCAAAATGGAAAAAACTGTTTGTGGGTTGGTTGTTTTGGGGGTTTTTTTAGTCATTCATTTTATATTTCATTAGGAGGTCTTTAATAATTTCAGATCACTGAACACTACATTTCTGAACTTTCCAGATATTGACTACTGGACAGTTAATAATCTCAATATAACCTATTTTCTTTCCAAATTAACAGCACTGAAACTGCTATAAGTATAAAATTCCTGGCATGGAGTCCATTGTGTTATTTGATTCTGAAAGTAAAAAAAGATACAATATGTTTAATACTGTTTAAACTTTCTCTTAATATGAAAATTTAATAAATTTGTTGCACTATGTTGAAATATGTTCATTGTATAAAGAATATTTTGTTTTATAAAGAACTCTAGAAGTGTCTCAAACTCCTCAGCAATGGAATATGCCATTTAAAATTTGAAAAAATTTAGCAGCCTTCTCAATGCAATTAGAGAAATGAAGTCTACACAAAGTCTTAGATAGTTGGTTTTAATCAGTTGCTAATATTGAGTTATTAGTGCGAAATTATTAATTTTATTAACCAGAGACAATCACTTGATCTTTACACACATTTTACAGACTGTATAAGACTCTGTAGATGAGATTTCTCCATGTGCATCTAGAAAGGTGATGAAATTTTTAAAGTTCTAAATGGCATATACCTTTGATGAAGAGTTTGAGATTCTGCTAAGACTGATTTTAAAACAAAACTGATTTTATAAGGCTTACTCTACTGGAGAAAGGTGAAGTCAAAAATATGTCCATGCTTCCTTGTAAGATGTACTGACCACAAAATCAACTTCATTCCTTGTTGAAAAGGTGCAAAGTATGTCATGCCTTTCTAACACTGCAATCCAAAAAACATTCTCTTGTAGGAAAAGTATAAACAACAAATATACAGAAAAGCGGGTAGTTAAACATGAATTACTACTATAAAACTGTTAAGCTTAGTGCAGATTTCTTGCTTGTCTTAATTAGTTGCTGTAATGAACAGTAATTATAGAAAAATAGAAATTGGAACTGCAGTGATTGAAAACATGTATGACAGATACATGGAGATGCTGGCAATTTGGGTTGTTTCAGTTTGCTATTACTTCTGGTAATTACCTCAGCACACTTGAAAAAGCATCACCAAGTATGACAAAAAGAAAAATTTATCATCATCACATTAAAGATTACATTCTCTAATGCTGAAAGCTACATCGGTTTTTAGGAAATAGAAAATTTTATGTCTAATTTTAATGTCTGTGTCTAGTGGTCCCTTTTTAACCTGTGCTTAACTTTCCATTCAGGAAAAGGAGCCTGAAAGAATACATAGAGATTTTGAAACAAGAAGTGTGAAATAAATCCTTTTCCTGCTCAGGCCCCCAGCTGTGCAACATGATGTAAGTTATTTAACCGTTTTGTCTCTTTTTTTTCCTATGTAGACAATGAAAACATACTATATTCTGTTTAATAATGCTTTGTTTTGATTAAATTCTTTACAATCATGGTGAAAATTTAATTTTAAAGTCAAATTTAATTTAGTAGATACAAAAGATGTTAAAAGACATAAAAGATGTTTCAGAAAAAATTATCAGTTGAACCTTACTTCATTACTTTTTCAGCTAAATATTAATTAGACTTGTAATACTTTGACAGATTATTCCAGCTGACCTAACCTTGAGGTATGTGTGACTGTTTATTGTTACTTTCTTTGCATTGTTAGTTTGTGCTTTTACAATATTGTCAGCATTTAGAAAGTAAATGTTCTTGTTGGCTGAAGTTCTGTAATCTTCTTGTGTCGTTTAAATAATTTAATCCTTTTGGAGTTGTCAAATTCATATTTCAGTGCTTAAGTCTCAATGGTCTGAAAGGATCTAATTGTTAGTGGATCCAGGAAAAGAAGTGATCTCACAGGAGAGAAATCAACAAATTCTGATATATAAGTTATAGAGAATATGGGGAGATACCAGAGTCCGTAGAAGAAAAGAAACATTTAATTCTCTGTATGAATCAGAAAAGTCTTGTCAAGTTTCAGTTCAGTGTCCACGTTAACACAGTATTAGCACAGAATCTATCTCATAAATACAATCTTTCAACTGATATATGTTACAGTATGATTGGCATACACCCATAGTAACTTAAGAAAATAGGTAATAGAATTTTTAGAGGAATTTCTTGACTACCTAGATTGGTGAAACCCCCTCTACAAAAAAAGAGGAAATAAATAAGTTGTTTAAGAACAAGAAGTGGGGATTTGGAATCCTGAGGAGCCTGCATTTGAAGGAAGTGTTCATAGCTGTAATGATTCTCAGTTATCTAAGACAGGTGTTACCTCCATGTGTGCTGGGAAAGCCATTCACTGAAGTCCTCACTGTAATAAAGTATCAATTGTGATCAGTATGTTATTTGAAACTTGGTTTTTAGTGTAACTTTGTTTTCCATACATTAGTATTAGTACAAATATATTTTGACATGATTTCTGTCTTCATTCTTACATTACTATTGTAGGAACATAAGGACTTGGGGAGTAGGTGTGAGCATGAACTCCTCTAGAGTGGGTGTGAGCATGAACTACGTGAGAATCTTGCTTTGAGTCATGAACTAACCTTGAGTCTGCTTGTGTTCTTTTTGATCACTGTCTTTTCCTGTTTCTTATTCCTTCTGTTGCAGGAAGGCCTATGTTGCTTTAGCTTTGCTTTTATCCTGCCCAGTAGTCTTCCAAAAGGAATGAACTTGAAATTTTTGTCATTTATTCATTAGTAATTATTTTTAAAGAATTTTAAGTTTAGATTTGTCACATCAGTCATTATTCTTTTTTAAGCATTTGCAGTTATTTCTGTGTTTTGCAGCTGAAAAAGCATTTATGAAAATTAAGTAATTAATTACATTTTAAGGTAGTTGTGAAAATTAGTCTCCTTTCCTAACTATAGTCCTTTTCTTTTCATTTGTACAGACGTAAAATACATGATGTCAGCACAACTGTGTTTGCAACTGTCACCTGTTTCAAAGAATTTTGTAAGAATTAACTCTGGGGGTTTGCCTTAAGTACTTTTTCTAATACTGTTAGCTTGCTTTCTAAATGTAGTTGTATATCTTATAAAAGTCTAACTCCTACCTGCAACTTCATCATTAGGGCCTAATTAATGGTTTAGTTTTATATTAACATTATTTTTAAAATGTGTAAAGTATTTTATAACAGTGATTTCACGGAGCATTGATAATGCAAACTGCTCATAGTCTTTACAGGCTGAACACTCTTTTTAAAAATAATTCACTCTGTCATTTTCCAAAAGCTCCTTAGTTTGATTATATTTTCAATGTGCCCATTTTGTGTGGTTCAGTCACCTGTGTAAATAACAGCTTTCTCAGAACTGAAATGAGCAAATAATTACTAACAATTTTGTATAAGCATTATTTTATTCAAAATAGATTTTCACAATTTTACTCAAAAACATGAACCACGAGAAGACTAAAGTACAAATGGTATTCAACAAATGCTCTTACTTCAAGTAACTGTGGTTATGCTACAATGCCTGCTACATCTTGCTGATCACTATACTGTCTTAGCATTTAAGAAAATTGATATTGTCTCTCTTACTGCATTCTTTCAATGGTTCCAGTTTACTTTTTAGTTATGCATTTATTTATTTATTTAGTATGTAGTCTGTAGGAAAACAAGTTAAATTATACATTCTACTTTTTTTTCTGAAAACAAGAGAATTCATAGTTTTTCCAACTTCCCAGGGCTAAATTGACAAATGTGGGCCAGTCAGATTGAACTCTTCATCATTGTTTGTTGGGAGTTTAAAAACAAAACTAACTAAGCAAAGCCAAAAAGACCCCCCAAACCCCACAATAATTTTCTTCATATTTTAAGCCACTGTTCCTCAAGATAGAAGGTCAGTGTCATGGCAAATTGTCTTCGTAGTTGTGCTAACCCAATCTTTTCTGTCACATAAGCTTGAAGTATTTGAAAAAGAAAATTAAAAGCTGATGTACAACTATATTCAATAGGAAGACAATTATATGAGTGGAGTGATGTATTCTTGGTGACCTGTGTTGCTTAGAAACAAACTGCTGTTTTGTCAATTGATTAAATCCTTGTCTTCTAATTGTTTTTTACTGGAAAGTCCGTTGCAATGCCTGACGTAGTCTCGGACATTGCTCCATTAACCATGAGGTCAAGCTACTGTCTGCTTCTTTCCTTTCTTCAGTCTCGCTTCATCTCAGCTAGAATGACTCAGACACCTGTCAGTGAGCATTTCTTACATAAAGTTTCATTTATTAGTACTCAATTAACCTGGTGCAAGTTGAGCTAGAGCATACATGATCACATAGTGCGTTTCTGTTACATTAGCTAGTGCACACAAGAAAAGAAAAAAAATGCATTTTGCTTTCATATTAAATTAGTTGATATGTGGCCTGGTAAGTAATCTACCACCAGAAACTTACCCTGTCAGCATTGTTTGAATAAATTTAAACCAAAGAAGTAATTTTATATGGGATCTATTCTATGTGTTGTAGTACTGCATGCTTTTGGTAAAGTGCAAGAAATTACCTAGCTAGATTTACTGTCTCAATGGGGATTTTTTAATGTTAGTCACTGAAGAATATTTCTAGAATCACAGCTTCCATATTCAGCTACAGATCTGATGCTTTTGTTTTGTCTGTGTCACATTTTATCTTAATTATTGTAAAATCCTTTTCTTAAACTGAAAAACATAGCCATCGTCCATATGTATTTATGTAAAATATTGCTGCAGTGTGTAGTTTCTCACCATCTCATTTCTATATCCACCTTTAAACTTGTTCCCAAACTTCTCACTTTAAACCCCAGGTGGTCCCTCCCTTTCTATGCTAGCAATTATTGCCCTCTTTTTAAATTTTGAAGTGGTATTCTTTTTGCTTTCTCTCATGTTGTGTTTCACATTTGATATGAATTTATATAAACATTCAGTAATTCCCTCACATTCCATGGCTTCTTACTCCGTGACTTTTGCTTCATGTACTCACTAATTCAAGAACTGAGTTTCAGAAGGTTTCAATCTACTTAGGGAATGTCCTTGAAGTAAGTAATAGTAACAAGCTTAACAGAAGTAAGAGTGTCTGGAAGATCTTCACAGCTTTTATTTTTTTCCCCACAATCACCTATAGAAAATAGCATTAAATAATATATTTTCAGGTGGGATATACCTTAAACCTGGACATCCTATGTGTTTCTGGGTACTGTGGTAACTGCTGTTGTGTTGTCAGGGAAACAGCCTTGTGCTCAGTAGGCAAAACAAATGAGGATTAAGCAAAGCTATAATATAGCTAAGTCCCTGTGACCTTAGCAGGATCAAGATCTGTCAGTTCTTCACTTTGCAAGTGTCCCTCAAGAGTGAGGGAGATATGCATAAGTAAAAGCATACCTGCAGTATGCCTGGTATAAATATCAGACTTGGACTATTCTAAGAAGTGAATACATTTCTCAGTTAGATGGATTAAAAGACTCCGTTTGTGTAAGTAAAAACTTTATAAACTAAGTGATAGAAAAGTTTTTGTATGAGCTATGAATGTGGAAGAGATAATTAAATTATGATGAACTCTGGAGTCTCTTTTATCTTTGTTGAAAATTCACACCAAAATATACCAATATAAAAGTACATTAAAGTCACAGGGATAAGAAATAAAGTTTATAGCACTCTGGGATGTGGAGTAGTTGCCAACAGTTTTCAGCACAGTGTTCTTTAGTAGTAAATATTGATGCATATGTTACTAAAGTAAACCTCCAGTACAGACATATTATTTCATTCCAGTTTTTTGTATTAAAAGAAGTTAAACCTTTTCTGCTTAAGCATTAAAATATTTTTCACTTTTTCTAATGCAAAATAGAATATTACACATTAGTTGAATTTTCATAAAGAAAAAAAGAATGAAGGAGCAACTACATATGATGTGGTTTGGCAGAGTCTCTGGAGTTTATTGTTCTTCTTGTACTGCTGTGTAACACCAAATGTGATTTAATGTCTTTGTTAATTAGTCCTAAGTTTTAATCATTAATCTACATGTATCAAACATGTATCAACCCTTATGTTTTTTTAAGTATCTCTTGTGTTACATGTCCATTATTAAAAAAAAAAGAATAATAAAATCAGTGTTAGTTCATCTGCAGACAATGCCAGGTGAACCTTTGTCAATACTGATACTTGTCCCATGTCTGGTGCTGAGAATGGAGCATCTGACACAAAGCATGAAATGAAATGTATGATTATGATAATGGGTTGATTTCTAGCATTACCTTGTATGTGTTTTCTTTCTTAGTGCTTGGGTTTTACCTTTAGGTTAATCTAATCCTCTGGCCAAAGCCAGCGGATTTTGTTAATTTTGATTATTCTTTCCTGCCATCCCAGTCCTGTTTATTAGTGCTCCTGCATTTCATTATTTTTTATATCAGATTGTTTAAAATAACTGGGTGGTTTTCTCAAAATTATTGACTTTACCATTTCATCAAAGTTACAGAAAATTTCTGCGTATGAGATACCTCTTATCAAAGAGAGTTCAGGTTTTTTACAGCATGTTTAAAGCCATTATAGAAAACTTGAAATTGACCTGATTTCATTGCTTCATTTCTGAGAGTAGCCACTTTCCTAATAAGATATTTCTATCAGAACATCAGGGGAATAAATGAAGCAAGAGGACAGTGAAGACTTGGCTGCTTCTGTGAGTTCAATATGATGTCAGCCTTCTTAACTATGTAAAATGCACAATAGAAAAGTTAGAGATGAGAGCATATGCAATACTTTAAATATTTAATGCTTACATATTTAAGAACAGAACAACATCAAAGTTTTAGAATACATGCAGAAGTTGACTTAAAAGACTGCAGCATAAGTTCTGGGAGAAAAATGCATTGTGATGAAAACCGGAACATTAATTTGCAAAGTTAAAGGATTAGGAAACTTACCTTTCTCATTCTTATTTCTTCTTTTATTATCAATTTTTTACTTTTAGTTTTCATGTCAGGTACAGAGTTGAATACTTTTCTTAATATATTATCTACATCTCAAACTTTTTCCCCTTCTTCATTTTTTCCTAATTTTGACAAGTAAATCTGTTCCTGTTTTCTCTTGGTCCACCCTCTATTAGAGTTCACTAATATGAATGACCTTGACTAAAGTAAGTAATCAGTAATGACCAATTCAGAAAACAATAAATGAAATCCAACTTTTTTTTTTTTCTTTAAACCAACTAACTAGTTTAACAGTGTTCCAGTAAATTACTGCAGGTTTTCTACTACCCTGCTGTTTTCTTGGATAATCTGCAGTCCTGAACAATTGTGATAGCAGCAGCAGCCTCGCCAGTTGTTTTGTTTGTGGACAAAGAGGCAGATCAGCCTTTCCTGGCTCATGGAGGGCATTAGGTGAATCCAGGACATGTCATCCTCCCTGTGCATGTGCTGTGCAACTGATCCATGAGTGCATAACAAGTTTAAGATATTTCTGAAGCTGTTGATTTCCAGCAGGCCATCTGTGCATGGCTCACAGCCACGTGTCCAGGTGTTCCAACTTGTTTGGTAGATATCTGTTCTTCCATGTGAAATGCTGGCAAATACAGTTTTCTCATTCCGTTTTAAATTACTGGTGTAACTTTTGTCCATCTATTCTAAATATAACGTACGATGGACATCTAATTTGTCTGATCAAATCCAGACATGAATTCAGAAGTAGACATTGGGAAAATATTAATGTGAAGTCAGTTTAATTCTATAGTATGAATATGGGGGAAACCAGAATTAGACTTACAATACTCTAATCATGTCTGATTTTTCTTCCTCTTTCATCTTGTGTAGCTATTGACAGTGCTGTAAAATACAAGAACAGTTTACAAAATCAAAATATTGACATTTGTCACATATTGACAACGAAACCCGGGAAAAAAATGAGGTTATGGAAGACCTCAGGTGTTTATGTTGCTGTTGTCAAAGGACTGAACAGAGAATTGTAGTTTTAACTGAAATAAATAAAAGCATAATGTCCAACCTCTAATTTAGACCAGTGACCTTCTCAAATTGAATTCTTGTGAATTATATCCCCATAGATTACGGAACATTAATTCCATTGCTGTTATGAGATTATATGTTTATCAGAATAGTTTGTATAGATTATTTCTGCAGTGCATTGTAATACTTTGAATTTGGACCATTGTATATTAGACACATATTTAAATCTGTATGTTGGATGCTTTCTTTTTCTATGCTTTTTTTTTTTTTTTTTTTTTTTTTGGTAATTTACCTTTATACTCTGATCTACATGTTTTAGAGTTAAATTTCTCATAAGGGTAACTTATAAATAAATCACTTTCTGAATAGGTTTGGATGAGTGAAACACTCAGCCTTGGAACATTCAGGTTATGAAATACAGATGCTATGGTGGGTATATTAATTAACTGATG